TGCAGCACCGAGACTCTGCAGTTACAAGGCATTACCTCAATTTTCTCTTCCACAAGGAAAGCAATCAATATTTAATGATGAAAATTCCTGGCTCCCATTCCTATAGCTCTGTACAGTTAGTCTTTGCAGCAGTTCACATACTGATGCTGTTTCTCATCCCCTGCCCACATGAAGGGCAGCTAAGTGTTATCTAGTCCACATTTTTCAAAGATTTTGGGATTAGTTACTTGCACTCCCATTCTGTAATAGGAAGCCATAAAACCTCCATATTGCCCAGACAGAAAACAACTCTAACCCTGAGGAACAGTTAACAACACCCTCCTTTTGGAGGTTCTGAGAACAAATACTCAGCAAAATCTTGTGTTTAGGTAGAAGAGTTGCACAGATGAGAGTCCTCCAAGCAAAATCCCAACTCTGCCATAAGCATTACAGGACATGAAGTGGGAAGCCAATGTCCTGGGAACGACTACAGAAAGGGGTCACAAGCACAATCCCCAATAGCCACAAGACCACATCCTCCACACATGAGCATTTTCCATTCTGACCTGAACAGCTTCTTGCTCTACTGATTGACTGTCACAGCTAAAGTACCTGTGGGTGAGGAGAGAAGAAGAGCCAACTACACACGTATGTGGAAGAGTGATCCTTTAGCCAACAGATCCTTACATATCTGTTAAATATCCCTGAGCCTTGTTCATGCTACCAAGGTCACAGCAGTGTAGCACTGTACCTGCCATACTCTAAGCACAGTCAAGGATGTTTTCATCCTCAACTATCCCTAGACTAATACTTTCCTATTATTGTTTTAAGGCATTGCTTCAGTTTAAGTCACCTGCGGGTTCTGTACACGTCAGACATACCTAGGGCTCCCAAGGGAACATGCACTTTGTATCAGTAAGATCAACTCTTTTGGCTGGCTAAGCTCAATCCAGATCCCTAAATGGAGGAAACTGAAACATTAGGTCTTTGCCCATCTAACTGCATTTATACCAGCACAGACAACTATCACCCCTGACTAACTTCCCATCCCGACATGAAACATTAGCAAGTGTCTAACCTCAACCAAGCTTAAAAGGTCACCAGCTATTTTCCTCAGCATTTAAAAGGATCTCAAATTTTTCAAAGAATATTGCTACGTCTTCTCCATACAGACCAGTATTGCAGCAAATTTAGCCCTGACACAAGATTTCAGGAGCTTTTTTGTTGTTATTGCTCTTGCTTTTAAACAAAGGGTTCTCCAAGCAGAGATCATGCAACCTGAAGAAAACTATCAGCCAACACAGGGTCTTTTCAAACTCAAAGCACTGTTTGCTCTCACTTCTCAATTAAGACCTTTGGCTAAATTTCCAGGCCATAACAAAGGGTATTAGAATCGTGACAGAGTGTTTTCCTCACTTTTATTAATTAAAAAATTATGGAAAAGCAATTTGTGCAAACGGTATGAATTAAACACAGCAATGCTTACAGTTCTCAGCATTTTCAGCCAGCTCAAAAAGGTTCAGCAGGCTTTCCGTGGAGCCATGCTACCAAAGCTTCCTCAGCATTTAGCTTCCTTTCCTGCCATGCCCTCCACCTTACCCCTCTGCCGCTTTTCTGCTCAGAAAAATACTCACAAAAATAACCAATGAAACCTCTGCATGTTGCAAGCTGGGACATGAAGTCGTGGAGAGGAATCTGGTCATGTCAGGCATCTGTTTTCAGAAAAGGAACTGTACTCTTACATTTTTATGCAAGACCAAACCGTCTGTCTTCTATCACTGCCCACCACCCCAAATGCTCCTACAAAGCAGGTCAAGCAGGACTGTACATAAAACTGTAACCAAGAAGTTTTCCTCAGCAGCACCACGGCGAAAGTGTTGCAAACAAGTCACATTTTGCAAGCCTGGGCTCCCTGCTCTTGATAAGGAGGTAAACACCTACAGACCAATGGAAATGGGCCACAGAAGCTAAAGTGTGAAGTTAAGCAGAGTTAGGCTGAACCCTAGGATTGGAGGGCAAGAGCTCATTAACAACGGGAACAACTTCGGAACAACTCATTACTTCCTACCTGCCTTATTCCAAATCTCCCACACCCAAGGAACTGATTAACTCTCATTTGGAAAGGCAAAAATCCCCGCAAGGCAGCAAATGTGCTGGGGGAGGCACAAGCGAAGGTAAAAGAAAAAAAAGGAAAAAAAAAAAACGGATGGTTGGAGCCTAGTGGCCTACATGCAGCTGAGATGAAGGTAGACCTTTTAATTTTCCTTCCACGGATTTTAACAGCAGCAAGAGCCAGGGCTTACTCAATTCGGATTCCTAAAAATAGCACTTGCCTGAGTAACCACACAGGACCACATGGGGCTCTATTTTCCTTAACTAGCTTTTGATCTAATGGAATTCTTCAGTTAAGTAAAAGAAGAAACGGGGTCTTTGTGGTGAAAGCACATGACCAGGAGTTAGGAGAACTGGCTTCTCCTCCACACTGCTATGGATTTGTTGTTTAGTCTTTCGTGCAAAACAATGTAGCTTTTAAAATACGCTTCTACCTCAGACCAAAACCTGTGACTGCATTTAAAAGCTGAAACATCCGTGCCAGCTGGCATCCTTCCAGCATGCCAGCCAGCCATGCAGCCAGAGCTCAGTGCTCTGTCCATGAGCCAGACAAGGATCCAAACAATCAGCCTGGTGCACTCCACACCTCATAGCTACACTGGCTGCAACAGAGCTGATGTTAAGAAAAGTTCTGGTACTTCTCTGTGCACTGGATTTATCTTTCTGCACTGAATTGTAGTACTGTCCTTTGCACTTCTCTTGCCCTGTATTGGAATTGAAAATAAACCTTCTTAGAGATGCAAGCGCAGTTCATTAAGCACTCGTAAGGTGTTTGTTTAACACCCAAAGATGCTCAGATACCACAGCAAACCCACGCAGTTGAAGCACCCAACGCAAGGAGGCAGAGCAGCAGCTCAGCGAGGCTGGGAAGCGTGAGAGCAGAGCGGAAGCGACACATGCTGGTATTTCAAACAGTCAACAAGCAGCAAGTAACCTGGTAAGACCTCTGAGACCTTGACCAGGATAGACAAGCTCTGCCCTGCCAGAACCGGCTGCTTTCCTAAGTTTGCAGGACCCTACCTGCTTCCCACACCCAGGAGAGGGTTGCAAATGACTCCGGATTGAGATGCTTCCTCCCACTCTGTAACCTGCCAGCAGAGATTAACTCTCTCCTCAAATGCTTCCTTCCACCCTCTCCAGCCACTGCATGAGCTGCTACAGCTGAGGGGTCAGGAGATGGGATTCCCCACCAGAGCAGGCTTAGGCAGAAGTCACTGGACAGCAAAAGACAAGCTGACTGTAACAGCAAATTAACCCCTTCTCTGGCTGACGGGAAAGTGAGCCAAGCCTAGCACGAAAGGAGGAGACATTTCAGCAGCCACACTGCACAGAAAGGACATAACACACCTGACAACACATTTAAACAATGCGAAACATCCTTCCCGATGCCTGCAGCAAGTCAGCCCCTATCCTAAAGATCTAACACACTTGGGCCCAGAAACGCTTGCCAAGTTGTCAACATGGCCTTTGATATCAGAAAGCTTTGAAACCCCTGCCTTAAAGGCCAACACTTGCTTCTCCACCCTTATTTGAAATGCAAGATGCCTGAAAGCTATAGAACTATTTAACACTGAACATGCAGGAGTCTACACTGCAGAGCGGACACGTTTGCTGGGAACTGCAGTTGGAAAACTAACAAGTCCCCTACTGCTACAATAACCGTAGCTGCGTAACGGAAGACATGCCAGGGATCGCAGGAAGCTCAAGCCTTCCAGCGCTTTCTGCAATCTCCATGGAGAGATCAGGCCAAGGAGCACCTTGTTTAAACCCATGCTAAATGCCAGGATAGCAAGGGATGTGGGACAGGGCACAAAAATTGCCACCTTTTTCCTTAAAAAAAACCCAAACAAACAACCAAACAAAAACCTAACAAACAAGTTTAAATCAAGTTTTGAACCAAATTGAGGCCTTAAGAGTGTTTGTTTTCATTTGGGAGAGGGGGAAGTCAGTAAAATGTTATTTCCCCACACGTCAACAGAAAATGCGTGCATCCCACCCTGCAACTCAAACATTACAGCTTCATGCTTTTTTACCTAGATGTAATCCATTCTCTATTTTACTTCTATTTCTTTTCCAGGGGGTAATATTGATGTAGTTGTGATTTTCTAAAGTCAGAGGACATCCTCTTTGACCCCATGCTTTCTGAGTTTTCCCCCCTTGACTTCACAGCTGAACGCACAGTATCCACAACCATTCTTCCGACCCAGAAGGACTCCACAGCACGTGAGATGCTAAGACCACATCATGTGCCACAATCCATTCACTCCGACCATCATGGAACCCCAAGGGCCCAGCACTCAAATTTATAGCCACTCTGATCTCGTGATTTCACTCCATACACAGCAGAACCATCCACCGACTCCTTAAAGCGCCCTTCTCCACAGACACATACAGAACAGGGCAGCACATGTTTCAGTAGGAGTCTGGTCTTCACACTTTGGAACAGTAATTTAGGAGCTGTAAGACAAGCACTAAAGCTGGTTTGATCCAGCCTTTTACAAGCTTTACATTTCACACTGATGTTATCAGCCAGTAAATCATACACATTGCAAGCAAAAGAATTTTTATGTTTTTCCTATATGCGTTCCTCACAACTGAGTGTTCCGGATACATTAATGGTTTTCTGTCAGTCATCTTTCCAATTAAGATCCGCTCCTTCCTTCCTTCCTAGTTTGCCAGTATGTTACACAAAATTAGTTGCTGACATGTTCCAACAGGGACAAGAGGAATGATCAGTAGAGATTAAAGCATGCCATGCATCAGCCAACTTCTCAAACAAAACATCTTGAAAGGAGAGGTTTAGAGGGATGGCAGGTCTCTTGTGATGGTTGGCCCCAAGATCATCACCATTCCTGTCAGTTGTCAAAAGTGCTTTATGGCTTCATTTAAAAGACTGGCAATTGATCCCCAAACCTACACAAAAGAAGAGCCCACAAATGCTATATTTACATTTTATTAATTCAAATCAAAGCAAGACTAATTACTTCTTACAGGGTCATCTTAAATGTCTACTAAATATCACTACAGGAGCTCTATTCTAGGTTACACAGGGGCAGGATCATCAATAAAACTAACATGAAGACAAAGTTGATCGTGCCCTTATGGATCACTTCCATTAACACGAACATCTGAGCTGTTTTGCAGTCCCTAGGCATTTGTCAAGGCCTCCAAACAAAGAGCTTTTCTGGTCATAAACATCTTGGTATAGAGTGTGCTATTTTAAGAGACCAGCACCTATCACACGACTGCAGATGAACAGTAAACAAACCATCTGCTCAATCCACAGTCTAGCTGGTGGTAAGTTTTGTTTTTAAATAAAGATGCTACTGACTGTACATCAGCAAGAAGTCAAGTCGCAAGGCATTAACTAGTGTGCTCTCATCCCATTTTCCCACCAGCAAAAGGATTCTCAGATCCAAGTTTTATTGCTCAATAGCCACAGCTTCTGCCAAAAATCACAAGGGAGCCAGGGGGAGGGGATGGCAAATATGAAATGGGACAACAGCTGTCAAGGTAATTTGATAGCAGCGATGGCTTCTTGAACCAGTGGACACTCTTGAGAATGTGAGCCAAGGCCTCCAGGCATCCACAGAAAAGCCAAGTAAGATAAAGAGCTCGGTGAGAGAGCTGATACAGATGTCTGAGACAGAGGAAAGAACAAAGAAAGCCAAGGCCATCTAACTTCTAAGAACTTCAGTTTTCCAAACAAAAAAAAAAAAAAAAATTCAGAGCAAGTGTCCAAATGAACCCTCCCAGCCATGAAGACAAATCATCTTTTGTTTGAAAAATGTTTGCAAGTTTTCCCAGTACTCTTTCCAAAAACATCTCAATACTACAACATCCAAACAGAAAAGAGGAGTGAAGAATGAGCTGACAGATTAAAACATCAAGTCAGTAACCTTCTATAGATTCATATCTATCTCAACTTCCACTACTGAGCAGTCACCTGCATTATGAGGCTCACATAAATTAAACTTAACAAGTCAATTCCTAATAGACCAGTGTCCACAGTCAGAAGCTTTCTTGTATCCATAACACAGAAAATATCCAAAGGAAAGACTTATCACTGGAAACCCTGAAAACTTCCATACTTCTGGTTAAGTTGCTCCACTAAATGAACCATCCCTTCAGCAACGAGTCATGTCCTTTGGCGGAACAGTAAGAAGAAAACTCCTTTGCTTGTGTCTATGTGGCACCTGTTTTAATAATATAAAAGGGATTACTGAGACATGCCAAAAACACAAGCAAGGACAAATTGCAAGTCGGGAGCATGTTAGCTGTGACAGGAGCAGCAGAGGGAGGTCAAATACTTTAATGATTATTTCCATCAGCAGGTTTTAGTCTTTTTTAGGATAGTTTTCATCTTTTTATTTTATGCTTTAAACTTCTCCCATGCACTGAACAAGCAGAGTTCTTTCACTTTCCCTCTCTTTCCATGGCTTCTGGATTCTGCTCAACCACCCCCATTACCCAGGCTTGTCTCAGCAACCTCACAGGAGTTTGTAACAGGAGGAAGGAAAAAGAGAAGCAAACAGAAATGCTCATAGCTTTGTTTGGCATTATTGTCACCTGCTACAGATGTGTGATGCACTTCTAAGAAACATGATCACTGCCAAAAATGCATTTAGGGGTACATGGTGCAGATTAACTGTTTCTTCAAGCTGAAGTCAGCATTTTGACAGACACCAATGCAGTCAGTCATTTATGTTAAAAACAGCTTATTCTGATGGGGAAAGTAAGAAACACACGACAACTGGCTTTCAGAATTTAGTATCAAAATTAAAATCAGACCTAGTTAATGTTCAATTTTCTCTAATAAGATCTTCAAACATCATACTCAAGCAGAGCAATCACTGGCTTATTCAATTGTGGCTGCAGATTTCTCCACAAGCATTGCAGCTCCCTTAACTGGCCCTGGAGGGACAGTCTACTATTATTTTTGTAAGCACTTAATAAAATCCCCTCATCCAACACAGGAGTTTTTGCCTTAATTGCTGGTCCTGCAGAGCAGACATGAGACATGGGAAGAGGAGGGTGGCTTCTGCAGGCCTCCTGACCTCACAGTACAGATAAAGAGAATCCACAGAATGACTGCCTTGAAGCCAAACAGGTTTAACGGCCCTTCACCATCTCTGAGGCAAAAGGCAATTTGCTTGGTATGTCACAGATAAAACTGTGCCTGTGTTGAGGCCAGGGTAATGAGACATCTACCCCATGCCACTTCAAAAGATTACAACTCAAAGGTTGCAACACTCCCGTCTCATTGCAGCCTGCAAAGGCTGCCCTGCCTAGTCCTACCATCACTCCCTTTGGCTCCTTGTTCCAACACAAAGGGATTAAAAATTAAGGAAAACCAGTTTTATCTAAAAGTAGAAATCTACTTCTATCCCTTATGGTAGCAACTTTTCCAATGAGACTTCTGAATTGACACTTTACTGGAGAATACCATTCATTCACCTTTTCGTTCAGTCAGTCAGGGGAAGAAGAATGAACTAGTCCCTTGTCCACCCCTTCCCTGCACAAGCTTAACCCCTGGGAGAGGGATGAGAAAACACATCATGCCTTCGCTGTCCCAGTCACATCCATTTTCTGAATGGGACAAGCAGGAAAATTCTCAGCTTCTCCATCCTGTTTCTATCTCCTATGTCAAAGAAAACAATAAAGAGCCAGGATGGAGCTGTACAGGTCATTATGACCACAACAGCACAACTCTTCATGTTAGCGGAAGTTGTGCCCTGGATTAAGAGTCAGTGCCAAAATTCTGCAGTAACAGACACTTTAATCAGACATCAGTGAATAACAGAAGCATCAAGAGACATAGTGATAATGATATCTTCAGGACACAAATCCTGTGACAATTCTGTGTGTCACAGATGCAAGTCCAGCCTAGAACCTGATGTGCACAGGCATCAAAGCAGTGGCAGAACCCAGTCTCTGCCAATACACTCAAAAAAAACCGCAGGACAGACTGAGTGGCATACAGAGGAGGTTGCCTGCACCACCCTAGAGCAGAGCTGGACTATCACGAGGACAAACCTTGCAAACCCCCTTAACTGCTGATAAATAGCTCAGGTGGGCTGAGCTTTCCCCATATCACATCACCCCACATGGAATAAGGGGACGAGCCCAACTAAGCCATTCTTCTCATCTGAAATGAATGGGATTCACCGATAGTGAGAACAGACTTGATTTGTGTCGCTACATTCCTCTTAGCCAGCTTGCCCAAGGCTCCTTGGAATGGACTGCAATGAAGAACACTGAAGTGTTACCCTCTGGTGTAATGACCTGTCCATGATGCAAGAGCAACTTTCCAATGGCACCAGGAAAAAGAGCTCGGGACCTTCTGGTTCAAGAGGGAGCCAAGGTATTTAATTATACTTTGGTTACCAGCTTGTCACTGACAAGAAAAAAGAACAGCTACTTGCATATCCCTCGAGATTGGGAATTTAAGCACTAACAGCTATGCCACTTACAGACTGACTTACTAGATTTTCAGCCCAGAAAAACAGAAAAATATTTAGTACATAATTACTCCTAAAATGAACATTACCTTAAAACCAACTGAAAACAAATGCTAACCAGCACAGGATAAAAGGGCAAATGGCATATCTGGCACCATAAGGAAAAAACAACAGATTAAAACCCTCTGTGTCAGCAGGAGGTTAGAAAGCACCCAACTATGAACTTTACAGCAGCAATTTTAGTAGCCATAAAGCTTCACAGAACAGAGCATTAACCATGTGCCATTCACCTCAACTGTGTCTCCACACACTTGTCTAATGGAATGGCCTCATCTTATCTGTTCCAATGTCTCCTAGACTTTCTCTGGTTTTCCCCACCTTCTGCCAACAAACAGTGCCAGGAGAACTACACATTGATCTGAAAAAGGAGAGTGAAAATGCTAAATAAAGACAAGAAACTCAGGGCAAGAGAAACAAAATCTGAGTCACTGGAAAGATTGTCAGTTTAAAGAACGTTGCAATAAACATGCAAGGAAGCTGTTAGATGAACATTAAACCAAATTCCTATTACAGAACCTAAACTACAGTAGAAAAGCTGAAATATACCAGTTCCCACAAAACCATTCAGTTGATACCAGGAAAGGGACAAACACAAGTCCACATTATAGAGCAAAGTAATTGAAGCACAAGGAGAAGGAATCACAGTCAACTGCAACACTGGACAGCTCTAGGAAATCCAAAAGATAAAACCCAACACTTTATCCTTGCCCAGCTCTCAACTCACATGAAGCAGTTATGCCCTGGATTTCCTTGGGTCATTTTTCCATAAAAAAATAACAGGAACAGAAAAATTAAGTCTCCTATATGCTTTAAACTCAGTTTTATAAGATTAAAAAGAAAATCTATTCCTATCTGCAAGGATATTTTCATCTAGTCATATCTTCATGGTTTTTTTATGTCCCAATTGTCCTCAAAGCCACAGAAAACACAGAGAGATGAGAATTCTTTTTGTTAGAATTATTCACAAGCATTACCACAGCAAGAGTTCTTGCTCCCAGAAACGGCATAACCCCTCTAACTATGGGAGTACATGTTTAATCACAGTACACACTCATTCCTTGTCACAACTACTAACTGCAGCTCTGGACAGGATGGTTAAGATAACCTAATTTGCTGAAAGAAGTTTAAAGCACTTCATTCCCTCCTAAACATTCACTCTAAAAACTGGCAGGACAGTGCTGTTCTAATGTTTTTCAAAGGAAATAGATGTAGACCCAGGCACCACCCAAATCCCTAAACCTCCCAGCATCCTCATGGTAGCTCTTTGCCCAGCATCCTCCTTTAAAGCTTTCAAGCACTGCTCAAGGCACTCAGCTCTTTCTTCTGATCAGGAGGTAGATGTAAGCAGAAAGCAGGGTACCTGGAACCAACCTCCAATACTTCCAAGCATGTTTTCATCGAGGGATTAATTGGATAGTGGGAACAACAGCAAACTACAGAGCATCATCAATATAAACTGGGGAGGTAAGAGATATTTTCTTAATTTCTCTACCCTATGTTTGGATTAAAATAGTCCATATAGTTCCAGCATGGCTCCATGTCTATCTGAATAAAAGAGTGCACTGATTTCTCTGCAAAGCCAAATAGTTTAAACGAAAAACCATCAGGGAGACAGCTAGACAACTTCCCCTTTTCTGAATATTTTCCTTGGAACTTTTTGGTTGGAGCCTGTGCATTGCATAGGGTTGAGAGGGCTATTACTCTTGGAAGCTATACTCTCAAATTCTTTCCTTTACTGGAAGATGTGAGGTTGATGATTTGCAAAGAAGAAATGCATTAAAGCCTCTTACCACTGGACCATGTTCAAACAGCAGGCAAGCAGCAAGTTTAAACACAGTTTTCAGGCCAGTAATCAGAAATGAAAATGACCCCGACACTCAAATGTATGCGTGTCTTCACTCCACCCCACACGCTTCCGCGGTGTCTCTCTCTTAATAAAATAAAGCTTGTTCAAAGATTACAGCAAAAACTGGAAAATTCAAAACAGCTGCTCTGGAAAGAAAAAAAAAAAAAAAACAAAAACAAAACAAACCAAAACACTAACAGAATAGAGCCATTGACATCACAGTTCTCCTGGAAGACCTCTCATCCTATGCACAGCAAGCGTGCCCATGCAGAGAGAAGAGATTGGGATTCCCGTCTGTGGTGCATCACGCAGTACAGGGAAACCTTCATCCCTTCCCTTAACCCCAGAGGCATTGAAGAAAGCAGGAAAAAAAAAAAAGCTACTCTATTTGCTTGCATGTTGGCTCTACAACTGCACTCAGAGGTTCAACCCTATGATTGGCATCAAGCAACAGATTGCTGTAGTTCTTGGAGACTGCATAGAGTAGGTAATTAAGTTTTTTCACTGCCCCAGCTGCCTTCCTCAAGCTCTAACCTCAGGGGATTCCCACGCTGGGAGCTTCACCCCCCACCAAGACTGCCTACAGGGTGAACTGTGCAACTTCTCCATTTCCAGGATCTCCTTGGGAGCCTTCAGATAACACAAGCTGAATTAAACCAGTAAGATGCTAAATTAAACTAGTAAGCTACTGGTAAAGAGTTTCACATTAGTGGTTGTAAATCCCCTCTGGGGCTTTCTCAAATGAACAGAAGGACCTACAAAACTGTCAGTTCTTCTTACGATGGAGAGGCTGGCTTCATCATATGGAAAGGGAATAGAGCATTAAGCATGCTGTGATCTCTGCAATGGTCACAGGAAAACACAAAAACACTACTACAGAAGGAAAAAAAATGGCTTTCCTTTACATACAATACTAGTAAGTCTCCCAGTTTTCTTGCACTGATTCTGAAGTACACTGTACAGTGTATTTATTATGAGAGAAACAGAGAGTGATTTTGATTTCTCTGGGAGATATCCCATGCACATAGCACAAGCAATTCTTCAACACGAAGAAAAAAAAAAATACTCCCGTGAACAGTGTGAAGTTCTTGAAATTTGTGGTTTTGAAATTAGTGTTTTCAAGTCTAACCATTCCAAAAGGC